CAACTCAAAACCATAAATGACATTATCTATATTTTGTTTTTGTTTTTTTTAATTTTTTTTATTTTTTATTTTTTATTTTTTTCATTTATTTTTATTAGTTGGAGGCTAATTACTTTACATCATTGCAGTGGTTTTTGTCATACATTGAAATGAATTAGCCATGGATTTACATGTATTATATTTTGTTTAAAAAAAGAAACTAAAAGTCAAAGAAGATAATTAACTTTCTACACCTTCACCCCAGAAATTAGTGGAGATAGAATTTCTGAATTTTATACTCTTGCAGGCATGATCTAAGCATAAAAGGTCTAACTCTTGTCTGTGTGTGTGTAGAAGATGTGATTTGTGTGTATGGGGTTATCCAAATGACATCTTGTGAAGCTTGCCATTTCTATCTTTTCTTGAATATTTAAAGCAGAGGCATGTAACCACTGCTGCTGGAATACTTCATTAATTAAAATCATCTACTTGAAATCAAGCTCAGCTGGTAAAGAATCCACCTTCTATGCAGGAGACCCCAGTTGGATTCCTGGGTTGGAAAGATTCCCTGGAGAAGGGATAGACTACCCAGTCCAGTATTCTTGGGCTTCCCTGGCGGCTCAGCTGGTAAAGAATCCACCTGCAATGTGGGAGACCTGGGTTCAATTCCTGGGTTGGGAAGATCCCCTGGAGAAGGGAAAACTACCCACTTCAGTATTCTGGCCTGGAGAATGTTGCAAAGAGTCAGACACAACTGAGCGACTTTCACTTTCACCCTTGGAATCAACGCATTTCTGAGGTTCTTCAGATTAGTACTCTCTTTTAAATGAGTATTTAGGTCCAAGAAGAAAATGTATATGTTCACCTGTATAAAATAACCTAGTTTTATGGAGATTGTGATTATTTTAAATGTGCCCTTCTTCATATATGGAGGCTATATCATTGGTGAGCTCTCATTAAGTCATAAACTTTAAGTTGTTATTTTAAGTTAATTTCTTACAATGTGAATGCATTTATATTATTTCATCCATACTCATTTATTTAATTGCTACTGTGACAAATTCCATGGTTTTCATATGATTATCTAAGAGTCTAGGTGCATTTATGAAATAAATGAAGAAATTAAGATGATCCTTGATTTTTAGCTTCTTTAAAGGTATGAAAAACAATGCAAATGCTCTTAGAAAAAATCTTGAGATCAAGACTCTCCTCATCATTGGTCTATTCTTTGATGAATAGAGGGGAAATTTAGCAGGAGAAATAAGAACGTCGTGATCTCAGTAATATATACTATAATCTGTGCCAATTTTTTTTTTGTTCAGTTGTTCTCAGAACAAATTAAAGGTTTAGTTTTATTTTTAGGATTCTAAATATGTCATTCATTGCCTCCTAACTTTTGCTGCAATGTGGTGTGATGTCTCACAAAGATAAATTCAGATTGATTATGGCATTTCCTCGGAATACAGAGGAGTTATAATATTTTGCTATTCTGGAAAAAAAAATTATTTTGCTATTATGAATACATTCATCCAAGCAAGATGCAGTGCGACATGTTCAAGTCTATATTAGTGATTTTGATGGAAATATTTACATGTTGTAGCAAAAATGATGATAACTTATAGAAATGGGGTCTATCTATGAGTTATTTGGCAACTCAAATAACTTACCATCATCCTGTGATACCACCAGACCAAAAAAATCTGAGATTAGGGGTGTGTAGTATTTTTTCCTTTTGTTTTGGAGGGTGGAAAATGAGACATGCGACTTTAAGCCAGTAACCAAAGAATCTTTGAGTCCTGTCTACTAGTTTAATTTATCTTTCTTCTCTGCTCCTCCCAAATTCTTTAAATAAGTTAATATCTTGAAGTTAGCATCTTAGAAGACTGTAACCATCCCAGTCCCTTGTCTTCCTAAAGAATCAAAGAAAATGAACAGATTTTTATCCATGGGAGTTTTTGCTTTTTAATAAAAATAAAGCTTATATTTGAATTACAGAAACTAGTATTCTTATAGGAGGTAGCCTGTGTCTAATGGGTCCTACATTCATGATACGAGCGCCTCCTTCTCCAGTGTTTACGTCTTATTAAGTTTTGGCTTCATTTCACTTTCCTTGAAAATTAAAAAATATACTTTTCTCTCATTCAGGGGCTCTTGCTATGGAGCCACTTTGATTCTAGACTTCTGGCAAGTGAAACTAATGTCAGTCTAATTTTCCATAGGTTCTAAATCCTGTTTCATATTTGTTCTGTAATCTTCAGATAAAAATAATAGGTTGGAAAACCTGGAAGCCTGGAGAGATGGATTTATGTAACGGACATTATTTCCCAAATTAGCATTGAGAAGTTGTCTTCTTATACCAGAGGTAACAAGGGCCAGATTACAGCAGTGCCTAAAACCAACCTGTCTCAACAGGCTTCATCTTCTTTTGTACAAATTTAAAGAAAATGGGTCCTCACGCAAGCATTTCAAATCCAGAGACAAATTTGAAAAAAATTGCTACAACATGTTGACTGATTTCTTGCCAAGTCAGCCGCTAAGAACTTTTTCTTGATGGACTCTTACACACAGTTAAAGGCGAGGGGGCAGGGAGAGGAAACATGTAACTTTTTAAAAGAGGAGTTAAATCTCTCTACCTCTTAAATCTTCTATTCTACTTTTAGACCCCCTCTCTTCATCTTTCTCCTCTCCCTGTCTGGCCTTTCCCTTTTTCTCTCTCTTCTTATCAGTCCCTGTAATATTCTCTGTTGCTTTAATGTATTCATTTTTACTGTTACTACTGATACAATGATATGTTCTGGAGAAATAGCTTTCCAAAGATTATATTCAGATATACAGATTCAAACCAGCAGAAAGGTTAAAAACATTTAAAAAATATGCTTGTCAGCAGTGGAAAGAAAGCTGTTTGTAGCCAGCAGGTGAGCTGGAGAGTACTACAGGGTGTGGTAGAGATAGTAATAAATTAACTGGCAAGCCAAAAACTATATTAAAAAAATCAGCTATTTCATAGCATAGAAGCATGACAGCTATGAAAAAAGGAGTGCCCCAGGGAATTCTTTTAGAGTTTGATTTTTTTAAAATATGTTTGACATGAAAAATGTTTTAGTACAAATAAAGCAACTGGTATTAAACTTACAGGGAGGGGGTTATGGTTTAGAGTCAGTATGAATAATGCATGATATTTAAAGAAAGAACAGCTTTAAAATGTTCTGAGAGGCAACCCATGTTGATAGTTGGAATGGTGATTTTTTCCCCTATTTTTGAAGCATCATTAATTCAGCATCATTTTGTGATTTTTTAACCTGATAAGATATCAACCAAAGAAATACTATTTGACTTAGATTAGGATATTCTTTCGTCAGATAATTTAGTTTAAATATCGAGAGGATCAGTAGAATTATTTAAGCGTAAAGCGACAGTCATTTACTATAAAAAATAATTTGGCCTAGTTATCTTTTTTAAAAAGCTCGTGTAGCCCTGCAAACCAAAATCAACCTCATGGAAGGGGGAAAAACAAGATCAGATATTTTGAACATTACTCCATAGGAGACCAGCACAATATAGTGTTGGTGAACGCATTGTAGCGGTGCTCCATATGCAATCAGACGCCAATTGTTACTGGACTGCGGACAAGCACACACTGTGCTCAATGGTCTGATGAGGTATTATGGATATGATGCAAAGAGACTGTGTAGATTAGAAGCTAACAATTTGTTAAAAGTGAAAGCAACTTAACATTTACATTGGGTCAGCCGAGTAGCACTTCATGTGGCAAACAGGATGAGTTCCAAGGAACAGGGGCACCAGGAAGGCTCCAGGCTCCAGGTATTAGTGTCCATGCAGAAAAAGAGAGATTTCACTGCTTTCTAGTTGACTACCTTTATTACTGTGATTCTTTCTACACTTTTCATTATTACATTCAGCTTTTAGTGTGGAAAAGTTCTTGCAAAACAGCATGATTATTATAAATGTCCAAAATGTGTGGAGGAATAGCCTATTAAAATATAGCCTAGAGATAGTACATAACACTGCCTTTAAAATAAGTAGCTGAAGCCAAAGTGATACTCTATTAAATCACTGATAGTGTGTAATTTACCCATATGTATTAATTTTGATTTCAATTTGCACTATCACAATACATTCCTCATCACTTTCTATTGGTTCTTCAGGTTGCTTGCTTCACACAGCCTGTGCTCTTAGGTCATAGAAGGTACTTTAGCCCTGTTGTTTAGGAGTGGTCTGAAGCCAGAAACACATTAATAAGATGTTGCACTGATCTCTGCTGAACCATGCTCAATCTCAACCAGACTTTTAATACAGATATCACATGTGAAATGCGTGGTTTTTTAATCAAATCATCATCAAAGAATATGTGATAAGTGCTTAGTATGTGTCATGATTCTGTAGTAGTTTCCACCAAAAGTTAGTGCAGAAAACAGTCTCCTATCTTTTTGGGATACCAGGCATGTCACAGAGTGTTGGCAGATAAGATTAGCTTCTCTCTTACCCCTCTCAAATTAAAGAGGTTGCATTTAAATTTTTTTGTCTAATTTTTTTTTTTTAATAAAATAAAGGTTAGGGTTATGGACAGTCAATAACTCTTTAATCTTTTTTGGACTGTGATACTCTGCCTTGTCTACCAAGCCAAAACGTTTTGTTGTTTTAATATAAAAACCTTAATGCTTTCTCGGTGAACTGAATGTCAGCCTGGCTTTAAGATATTTTTTTACTCTTAAAAAAATGATGTATTACAAGATTTGTAATGGAGTGAACATGCTTGAATTGCACATTTAATTTTTTTAACATCATATTCATGTTTTGCCAGTTTGCCTACGAGCTATCTGTTAACAAAAAGTTCCAAGGCAGCCCTGCAAGTCTGTGCCCAACTCAGCCTTTTGTTTCTGCAGATGTTTGGGCTTAGAGCAATGTTGTAAAGCTCAGGCAATCCAAGGACCATGTTTGCACTTGTCTGCTGCGATTCCCGGTGCATTGTCTAAACCTGCACGCATTGTTCTTTCTGACAGGTGATAACTACCCCGTGCAGTTCATTCCATCAACAATGGCAGCCGCTGCTGCTTCTGGACTCAGCCCTTTGCAGCTCCAGGTGAGTGCCAGAGGGGAAACGCGGGGTGCGTGCCAGCACTTTAGTGGGGACTGCTAACCAGCTGTGTGCTAAGTGATGGCCTGGATGTTAAATAGCTTTTTAAGCATAGCCTGGAAGGTTAACACCTCATGTCCTTCCCATACTGCAAATAGAAGAGAAAACTGTCAGTGTCAATATTTTTAAAGGAAAAACTGATGTCGTGACTTAGTACTATATATTCTCTATGAGCTAAGTTAATGGTTTTACAATTTTCTATGGCTAGTTGATATTGGGTATGTTAGCTTTTTCCTGATAACTTCTTCATCCATTTCTCCATTCACGTCCAAATTAGCTTTTACATGTAAGTATCAAAACAGACAACATTGGATATTTTCCTTCTTGCGACTCGTAGAATAGGGAGTTGTTATTACCAAATTACTTGAACTATTTGGTAAAATGTAAACACATTGTCCCTGAATATGTGTATTATCACAGCCTCATCCTCATGCCAGGTCAAAAGACTGGGCATGGTGTGTGACCAGATTCTGGACTGGTATTCTTTATAAAGCTAAAATTGGGGGGAAAGTGCTTTGGAAGCTAGTTTAAAAAAAAATCCCTTGCACCTTATCTTCTTCATAGTAAAATGGGAAGTGGAGGACTAAGTGATCTTTACACCCTTTTTGCAATGCTGTCTTAATGGGAAATTGATGTTAAATATGAGTGTATATTTTAACAAAAACAGAAAGAAAGTATCATTAAAATTAATGGTTAAGCAAGCAGTATTTGAGCATTCAGGATGCAAAATATAGGATGATAACTTGAATTTCAATACATTGAACAAAGATAGTTTTTTACTCTTATAATGTACTGTGATGATTTTTCAATTTTCTTAAATAATCTAGGGAATAGCATCTAAGTGGGCATTTTTATTTCTTCTTTGCTATTCCTTATATGACTTGAATGTAAAAAATGAACAGATATTTTATGTGAAAAATATAATTTTGAACATTCTGAGTTGAGTCTACAAATAAAGAATTTTTACAGTACTTTGAGCAGTTTTTGTCATAAGCCTATCCAGAAAGTCTTGAAGATGCCTAGCATTATGGATCCATTATGGATGCCTAGCAGAGCTAGAGATTTTGCCTCTTGAAAGCAGCAGCCCTATCTCATCTAAGCCCTCACCTTCTCCACTACTAACAGGGAACTTACTGCAGCTGGAAAAGATATAAAAAGAAACCTAACTCACAGTCAGTCTAATCTATTTCTCCTTTTTCCATAGCTATGCTGTTGAGTGTCTTCTTAAGTCAGAGGCAAAAATAAGAAACCAGTACCACTGTTTGATCCTATAATCGAGTTTCTGTGAAAAAGAGTGTCTGGGTCCTAAACCCTGCTTTCTGTTCTTTGGTGTGGTCAGTACCCTGGATTTAGAAATATGTGTTCTGTTTCATGAGTTCTGACAGTATGTTTTGTCTTTTTTTTTTTTTTCTGAATATGCTACTAAACAGAAAGGTCATGTCTCCCACCCACAAATTAACCCAAGGCTAAAGGGCCTAAGTGACCGTTTGGGCAGGAGTTTGGACACCTTTGAACATGGTGGTGGCCACTCTTACAACCACAAACAGATTGAGGTATGAATGCTTACATTGGTGCTTCATTGGGTGGGGGACTGGATTGTTCAGTCATATTCTAGGTTTTTTTAACAAGTGCCAAACACTAATATATAATCTTCCCCTTTTTCTCATTCCTACGGAGGCTTATTTTCACTCCTTTTCTTTCAGAGAAAAAGTCAAACCCCAGACCAGTGCCTCTGAAGTAGCTTGTTTATTGCTATATATTTACTCAAATTCTTTACATTATGAGTGTTTTCAAAACCATTTTTATTTCCCTTACCCTTTTTTCTTTATGTATAGTGCTGCATAGTAGTTTAAAAAAAAAAACACTTAGAAATTAAACAAAACAAAACAAAAAAACTTCAGTTCACCATGTATCAACCCTATAGAGTTGATAAAATATAATTCTGTTTTTATAGACAAAACAATGGAGGTTCAGAGAAGTCAAGTTATTTAATCAAGGCTACAAAATTTTCTTGGAGTCAGAGTTATTATCCAGGATTTCTAATTCTGTCTATTCCAGGTTTTCTAATTTAGCTTTCTCTGACTGAATTTGAGGTTGGGTGCCTGGGCCTGACTGGTTGATTTTTGCCCCATAAACTTATGTAGTAACTCTTTCATATTGAACTTCCAGTAAAGCTCTTTGTTGTTTTTGTGGGATATTCTTACTACCTGGGAGAAGATGCCTCATATAGCTCTTTTAAAAACCAAACCCCTTTCTAATATAGGGACCCAGTCCTCCTCTCTCCAATATCGTGCTTAATTCCTCTATTATATCATTGGAAAACCTCTTTAGGGCTATCAGATTCTAGAGGGTTGCTAGCTATCCCTCCTTAGAAGTGAGAAAGGTCAACTTCTCATTTTATTCTCTAGGACTATCAGATACTGGAGGGTTGCTAGCTATCCCTCCTTCTTAGAAGTGAGAAAGCTCACAAGAAGAAAGAAGAGAACAAGATCAAAGGACACATTGGAAGTAGCCTAAGGAAGAGTTTGAGTTCAGAGCTTGTCACTTGCCTTCTTCCTTTCCCTTTCCCTTTGATTATAAGAAGTATACAGGGGGTTCCACCCAGACATGACAAGGCATACTGTTAGAGTATCTGCTATCTTCTATGCAGCCCAAAGGGATTTCTTTTCTAAGGCTTCCTTTTGCCTGTAGAGAAGGTGCCACATTTCTGAACGTTCTGACATCTACTGTGCTTAGGACTGCTAAACGGAGAGATAACCGGACATCAGAAACAATTCTTTCAGTTAGTAAGGCTTATCTACTCAGGACAGCTAGTTTGTTAAAATTTTAAGTACTTGGAAGAATGTGAAAGCAGGGGGACTTGGCTCAGATTCAAAACTTTCTCTCCTCTTGACTTTTATTTTCACTTGAGGTGTTGAGTTCTATTCCATTGGCCTTCCCTTAGCCAGTTTTCTACCCAGTTTCTCCCTTTAGCTTTTCGCTTAAGTTGACAACTCTTCCCCTCACCATCACAGACCTCTGCTGTGAAATCTGGCTTCTCCTGGGTTTCTGGAAATCATGATGTCATATATGTGAGTGCCAGGCGGTGTAGCGCTATAGCAATGCTGATCTAGGAGCACAACATATGCGACATGTCTGTCGCTTTAATTAGGCTGAACACAGAACCTGGTAAGGTGCAGGCCCTCAGCTTTGTAGGGTAAGTTTGGGTTGGTTGGAGAGTTTCCTGTGTTTTTTTGTTTTTGTTTTTTATTATTCTTGCTCTGTTCTCTTGCTTCCATTTTTTGCACTTTTCCTTGCATGTCGGGAAACCATTGCTATTTGCTTGTATGGTACACTATTTAGAAAAGATGGATCTTATTTGAAAGGCAGATTTCTCAAACTTTCTTACTATGAGTGTAACAGGTTTATTGAGAGTCCTATGAGCAGCACAGTGGACACCTATATCTAAGTTGTTACAGACACTAACATTTTAAATCTTGTCTAAAAGTAGAGAGAAAACTTAATAATATTTTGCTTTATTGATTTTAGTCTACTTTCTTTTCTAGCTCGGGTTTTCTCCATTCCTTTAACAAGCTAAAATGTCACAGCTCTGTCAACAATTATGATCACAATAAACTGGGGATACTAAGCATTACAATATGTTAATGAGTTTTATTTCTATTTAGAGATTCTTAGGAAGAAAAGCCACAATGCATGTATACCACCACCACCTCCACACGCACTCTGCTGCACTGAAGAGAAGCCGTCCTCTCTACCTGATACATAGTTAATTTGTCCTTCAAAGGTTTTTCACTTCTAGCATTGTGAGCTGGGGTTATCTTAACAGTAAAGTCATACTCTGAAAGTCTGAAATTTTGTTATCACCTGAGAAAAGAAGGGAGCTGACTGTGCCTCAGATCATGAACTCCTTATTGCCAAATTCAGACTTAAACTGAAGAAAGCAGGGAAAACCACTAGACCATTCAGGTATTACCTAAATCAAATCCCTTACAATTATATAGTGGAAGTGACAAACAGATTCAAGGGATTAGATCTGATTGACAGAGTGCCTGAAAAACTATGGATAGAGGTTTGTGACATTGTACAGCAGTGATCAAGACCATCCCCAAGAAAAAGAAATGCAAAAAGGCAAAATGGTTGTCTGAGGAGGCCTTACAAATAACTGAGAAAAGAAGAGAAGCTACAGGCGTAGGAGAAAAGGAAAGATACCCATTTGAATGCAGAATTCCAAAGAATAGCAAGGAGAGATAAGAAAGCCTTCCTCAGCAATCAATGCAAAGAAATAGAGGAAAACAATAGGATGGGAAAGACTAGAGATCTCTTCAAGAACATTAGAGATACCAAGGGAACATTTCATGCAAAGATGAACACAATAAAGGACAGAAATGGTATCGACCTAACAGAAGCAGAAGGTATTAAGAAGAGGTGGCAAGAATACACAGAAGAACTATACAAAAAAGATTTTCATGACCCAGATAACCACAATGATGTGATCACTCACCTAGAGCCAGACATCCTGGAATGCAAAGTGAAGTGGGCCTTACAAGCATCACTACAAAGAAAGCTAGTGGAGGTGATGGAATTCCAGTTGAGCTGTTTCAAATCCTGAAAGATGATGCTGTGGAAGTGCTGCACTCAATATGCCAGCAAATCTGGAAAACTCAGCAGTGGCCACAGGACTGGAAAAGGTCAGTTTTCATTCCAAAGAAAGACAATGCCAAAGAATGCTCAAACTACCACAAAATTGCAGTCATCTCACTACGCTAGCAAAGTAATGCTCAAAATTCTGCAAGCCAGGTTTCAACAGTATGTGAACCCTGAACTTCCAGATGTTCAAGCTGGATTTGTAAAGGCAGAAGAACCAAAGATCAAATTGCCAACATCCGCTGGATCATCAAAAAAGCAAGAGAGTTCCAGAAAAACATCTACTTTTGTTTTATTGACTA